ACTAAGGTGCGTCTGATACAGGCCATAGTCTTCACAATCACTTGTTATGCATCGGAGAGTTGGACAATGACCAAGGAGGATAGAAGGAGAATTGATTCCTTTGAGCTGTGGTGCTGGAGAAGCGTATTGAATGTACCATGGACTGCTAGGAAAACAAACAGATTCATCCTGGAAAGGGTTAAACTGGGTGACTCTTTGGAGGCAAGGATTCTGAGGCTCCATCTAACGTACTTTGGACATGTTGTAAGAAGAGACTGGTCCTTAGAGAAGGACATCATGCTGGGGAAGGTGGAGGGACGGCGCAGGAGGGGAAGGCCCTCTATGAGGTGGATTGATTCCGTGACTGGGGTTATCGAGATGGGAGTGTCAGAGACAGTGCAATTGGCACAAGACAAAGCAGAGTTTAGGGCCGTTGTACATAGGGTCTCTATGAGTCGCAAACGACTCGACGGTACATAACAACAACAATCACAACCGTGAACCAATATCAACCTTACTTTATTTTGACTTAGTGTAACTAAATGAGTGATTATTTATGGGGATACATTAATAAACAATGGTACAGGAGTGAGAGAAATTTTCTAAATGAAATTCATGCTCATTTCAACAAGGTTTATTTTTAGCAACAACTTTTCTTTGATTTATGTGGTTTGTTAGATGTAAAAAAAAACCCCAAGATTGATTCTACTTGAGACATGTATTTTGCATCTATGTAATACTCTTCTTCTTTCTCCATGCATTCACGCTAACCAAATTCCTCACATGTAGCTTAGACATTAGGCCTGCACCTAAACTCTTGCTCCTTTCTTGCCTTTGGTACTCAATCTTCTTGTCACACAGCAGCCTGAGTGCTTGTAGTACACTTTGAGGCCTTCTAAGGAACTGCCAAGTACATCCTGTCTTCTCTCCAACATTGTCACACATCTCTTCCTCTCATGTATGCATTCTTTTGTTTTTCAAAAATTCCAAACTATTTTCTGTCTTGGATTTTTTATGAAGTTTCACTTCCTCCTGGCTAGTTTCTTCTTATTTGTAAAATAATTCAAATTCAAACTCATTACTAACTTTGAGAAAAATGGGAACCTTGGAACCCTTGATCGTTCTTATATGAAACCTATACTTGGAAAAAGAAGCAGTCCTCAGAACAGAGGAAGAAAACACTGCATGGTTCAAAATCAGGAATGGAGTGTGTCAGGGATGCATCCTGTCCCCATATCTTTTTAATCTGTATGCAGAACAGATCTTTCAAAAGGCAGGGCTTTATGGGGAAGAGTGTGGCATCAAGATTGAAGGAAGATTCGTTAACAACTTATGATATGCAGATGACACAACCTTGCTTGCTGAAACTGAAGAAGACCTGATGCACTTGCTGCAAAGGTCAAGGACTGTTGTCTTTGATATGGATTGAAGCTCAACATCAAGAAAACAAAGATTCTCACCACTGGGCCAATTGGCAGCACCATAATAGATGGGAAAGAGATTGAGGTTGTTAGCAAGTACAGCTTGCTTGGATCCACAATCAACACTTTTAACACCAGCAGTCAGGAAATCAAAAGATGAATTGCATTGGGAAAATCTGCTGTCACCTGGACCTCTCCAGAGTGCTGAAGAGCAACGATATCTGTCTAGATACAAAGGTGTGTCTAATCCAGGCCATGGTCTTCTCAATTACATGTTATGCTTCACAGAATTGGACAATGACTAAGAATAACAGAAGGATAGTCGATGCCTTCGAGTTGTGGTGTTGGAGAAGAGTCTTGAACATATCATGGGCTGCCAAGAAAACAAATAGGTCTGTCTTGAAGAAAGTGAAACCAAGTCTCTCTTTGGAGGCTAGGATTTTGAAACTCCGCCTCACTTACTTTGGGCCTGTGGCCAGGAGAGATCCGTCCTTGGAGAAGGATATATAATTCTTGGAAGGGTGGATGGACAGCACAGGAGAGGAAGACCCCAGATGAGATGGATTAATACAATAATTAGGAAAATGGGAGTTGGTGTGTCAGAATTAGTGTGACTGGCTCAGGACAGGGAAGGATTCAGAGCTGCTATACATAGGGTTGCTATACATCACAGGAGATGCAATGGCACATAACAACAATAACACACTATGATAGGTTTGGAAGCACGAGTTACATCCATTTCCTAAATAACATGCCTCCAGAAACTTCATGAACTTTGATAAATGTTGATGGTTGTAGAAGGACTTCTGGTCTTTTGTTCATGGGATCACTGTGAGTCATGCTCAACAACAACAGTGGAGTTAGAAAACTCTGATATCCTAGTGGCTAAGAGTTACACTGTTAACCCAAAGGCAAGCAGTTTGAATCTACCAGCTCCTCTGTAGGAGAAAGATGGATAATCTTTTCTATGCAATTTACAGTCTCTGAAAATTTTCTGGAGAGTCAACCATGAGTTGGCATTGACTTGACGACACGTAATAACAATAAGAAAGTTGTGGCATTGGTTCTGACTCATAGCAGCCCCTCATCAGGTTTCTTGAGACTGAATCATGAGAGGTGATTGCCCATCTTTCTCCTGTGAAGTTGTTGGTGAATTCGAACACCTGGAGATGCAGTAGTAGATTATACGGCCTTTTCAGAGAAGTATTCCCTTTCTATTCTATACATTTCTCCCTGGTAAACATCTTACCATTGGACAATGAATAAAGATTACAGAAGAATAATTGATACCTTTGAATTGTAGTGTTGGAGAAGACTACTGAATATTGCATGGATTTCCAAAAGTAAAATCAGGCCTGTTTTGGAGGAAGGGCAACCAAAGTGTTCCTTAGAGGAAAGGATGGTGAAACTTCATCTCACATACTTTAGGCTTATTGTCAAGAGGGGACATTCCCTGAAAGGTAACATCATGCAGGAAAAGATGCAGAGTAAGAGAAAGAGAGGAAGACTGTCAATAAGTGACTGTAATAATGGGATGGAACATATAAATATGAAGAAGATGGTAACTGATATGGCAAGGTTCAGATCTGTTCATAGGGTCACTATGAGTTAGAGTTAACTCATGACACATCACAGTAACAACACTTTTATCCCCCTTTTTTGTCATTTACTCCAAGTTGCTTCATTTGTAGTGTTTAGTATCAAGTGTGATTTGTCATTTCTTTGTTGAATTGCTTATTTTGTCTTTGAGAGGAAGACCCTTGATGAGATGGATTGACTCAGTGACTGCAGTAATGGGGGTGGTATGTCAGATGAGGAAATTGACTCAGGATAGAGCAGGGTTCAGAGCTGTTGTACGTATAGTCACTGTAAGTCGCAAGTGACTCGACGGTACATAACAGCCACAACAACAACCCATTTGACTATGAATTATTCAGGGAAGAGTAAAGTCTGTTTCATTCATTAGTATATTTTTAGGACTTTTTGAGTGAGTGAATGAATGTATTTTTTATAAACTCCTGCTGTATATCTACTAGACCAAAAAGCATACATGTGCCAAATGTTTAGTAAATGACCATGAACTCACTCATACTTTCCAGTTATTTCTGAATAATAGCATTTATCCATTGGATTTCTGAGGCTGTAAACCTTAATATGAGATGATTGCCCATCTTTCTCCTGCTGGAGAATTTGATTCACTGGAGTTGTGAGAACTTTAAATTGGCATTGCAACATGCTATAGACACCAGTGTTCTCAATGATGAGGGAGGCTGTACTAATTTACATCCTTGCTGATGCTATGAGAGTGCCTGACCCTCTGAGGCATGAGCTTTGTTATAGCGAATTATTTTCTGCTTGTTTTTAATGAGAAAATAAAACTCGAGGCTGAGTGGGAAAATTTAGCCCTATTACGCTACCTAAGAGTCTTCATGGCATCATGGTTAAGGTACTGTATTCAGTTGCTAACCGGAAATCCAGCAGTTCAATCGCACCAGCTGTTACGCAGGAGAAGGAGAAGGATGGGACAGTTGACCTCCATGAAGATTTTCCAGCCTTGAAAGTCCTACGGGGGCAGCTCTATTCTGTCCTAGCAAATTGCTATGAATGAAAATAGACTTTGTTGCAATGAGTTGGTTTTGAGGAGTAAGATATCTAAATGCTGTTTCTTTAAGTGCTAATAATTTATTACATTATAATTAATTAAAATGAGGTTAAGATTCTGAATATAGTAATCTAACCAACTTCATAAGACTAAGCAATTCTAGGTTGAGGGAACTGCCATTCGTTCTAGACTTCCTATCATTCCAGACTTTTCACTGTCTCAGGTACAGAATGATAAAAAACCACATGGATCCCAGAGATATGTGGTTCTAATCTACCAGATGCTCTGCTGGAGAAGGAGGGGCAATCTCCTCCTGTACCAGGCAGATCCTATTTGATGGTACACACAAAAAATAATAAAATAAAAATTAAAAAAAAGAAAACACATGGAAACCAAATGAAAGTTAAAGAGTTCACTCTATTTTCTAGTCATTTGCTATTACCTCTTTCTATGCATAATTAATTTTCCTTTTGACGATAAAGAGTGCATTTAACAGAAGGAAGTATCACGAGAGCTATGCCTTTTGCTTTTCTAACCGTCAGACTGTGGCAATATTATTCGCAATAATTCCTGAGAAGGAAAATATTTCTTTAGAGAGTTATTTTACCTTAGGTATCCACCCACCTCTCCACCCATGGGAAGAATATGGTGTGCAATGCTTCACTGGTGTGTTCTGAAGCACGGCTGCCCACAGGAATGGGTGCACCATAATTCACTATTATGCTTCATATGCCAGCTTGTAGCACGATGAGTCTGAAAACAGTATAAAACATTAACAAAAATAATTTCCAAGATTTCAGGAAAGTCTATTACTGGCGATGGAAGAGAATAATTATTCTTCATTTTCATTTTAAAAAAACTACTTTGTTGTGATTTAGGTGAAAGTTGACAGGGCACGCTCGTTTGACATTCACAATGCATGCACATTTTATCTCGCCACATTAGTTGCCATCATCTCAATACAATAGCTCCTTTTTGGTCTCCTTCCCTGGATTTACATTCATCATCCATTTCCGTTCATCCTTCTTTCCTGCTACTTTCTGCCTTTTGAACGTCATTTTTAGACAGATTCTGCCCTTTTAGCATCATATGATTAATTGTTCTGAGGAAAATGGTCCCTATGGTTGTTATTACCCACTCACTTTATACCCCCCAAAAATCTAGTCTTGTCAAATCAATCCTTACTCATAGCAACCCTCCATTTGGTTTCCGAGGCAGAAAAGCTTTAGATGAGGAGGTTATTTATCCATCTCCTGCATAGCACCCGGTGCATTTCAACTGACAAATCACTAATTGGTTAGGAGCTTGACACATCATATACGACACCGTCATAATTCCTGTTTACTTTAAAATCCTTTCATTTAGCTTACAGGGTGGGTTCAGTGCCAAGTTTGAAGGATGTCTGTGAGTGACTGTCTCAGGGTTTCCCCCAGTCTCTAACAGATAAGTTACTCTCGTCTTTTATTTTTTTTTTAAATTTTGCTCTACATTTTTCTCCTACTGCATCTAATATATTTTATTGTGATCTCAATTAAAGTAGTTGACCATCGGTCTCTTCTGGTCTCAAGATAGTGGAGATGTGTTCCATGTGATCATGCTTTGAAGTAATTGTTGCCTTGAATCTTTAATTTTTATCACTCTTCTTTATTCTTTTTAAAAATGTTTTTTTAAAATTCATTTTAATGAAAGTTTACAGAGACTTTGGATTTCCATTAATTCATTATTGCACTTTTCTCCCTGCCCAACCTCCCTCCACACCCCCCCAGTTCGCTCTTCTTTGAAAAGTAAAAGAAAAATTCTTTCATTGTTATACAATCCCCTCTCCCCCAAGTCCACTCTGCTATGCAGCATTCTTCTTTACTCTTGATAGAAGGGAGTAGAAGTTGCCTCTTGGCCATTTGCAAGCTTTTCGAACTAGTCATTATTCATTAAAGGTGGAATATAAAATATTACCTTTGTGCACTACACAATATCAGTTGAGCTAGATGTTCTCCAAGGCTATGATCCCAAGCCTCCAAACCCAGTGTCTCGATCTGAAGTATGCTTCTAGAGTGAGCAAGCTGTAATTCTCTATTGAGAATATTCTAAAGTATATTCCTCTACCAAAGACTCATATATCACTACTACTTTTTTAAAAAAAAATGAAGTGAGGCTTCATACACCGATACTTTTATGATTAGTAAGATCTGAGTAAGTTTGGTAAACCCGTAAAACTTGTACCACACATTGTACTCTGAATTTCAGTATTCAGGTCTTAATCAGGAAACAAGTCTCTTGAAAGGATTAATTAGACAGAAAAGAAATTTCAAGTGTATTTTGTTGCTTCTGTTATTCAGAGGGCAGAATAAAACTTTAGTTTCACTGAATTGTCACTTTAGAAACATGAATATGTGTTTCTTCTGCAGTTTAGGAAATGTTTAATTGATTATCTGTGAAGGTATGTGATTATTCTATTTGTTAACATAAAGAAGAGGATTAGAAACCAATTATTTGCTTGAAATTGATGTCTTTACATCCAAATATTGTTCAGCCTGTAGAATTTTTTTTTTTCCCTAACAGATTTCACATTTCCTTGGGAGAAAGGTGGGTTAATCTCCCATGTAATTTTATAGCCTTGGAAAAATGGAGGGTCAGCTGGAGTTGATTCTGAATTGATAGCAATGTCCGAGTGAGTAAGTAGTTTCTCATTAATTTTGTTGAGCGTCATTTTAATTCTTTTCCTGTATTGAAACATCTTAAAATCCTATGAGTTAATTTAGCCTGAACTCTAGCTAGTTAAAACACCATCTTTGTGACATGAAACCATATTCTTTAATCCAAGCTTTGTGTCTCTTTAGCCTTTTCCTGGAAGGGAACACCCAAAAGGAGATTAAAGTAGAGAAGGCTCCACCTCTATTCTCCCCTTTTAGCACATCTCATCCATCAATAAATTCGTGTTTCATTTTGTTGTGTTAGACACATGGCTAATTTTGTGGTTGCTTATGTATGGTGACCAAGTTGTGCAAATTGGTGGCTTGATACTAATCCTTCATATCTCCAGTTATGAAGTAAAGATTGGCAGAGTATCAAAAGTGTTTTTTCACTGCTTGTGGCTTTGAACTGATTCAACTCTAGGTTGCTCTGTCTTTGTTTGAAGGGAGCTCTGCTGGCCTAGTGGGTAGAGAGTTGCTGCACTGCCAAGCCAAAGAGAGTGGTTTGAATCCATCAGCTTCCTCATAGGAGAAAGATAGGGAGTCTCCTCCCGTGCAATTTACTGCCAGTGAAAACTTGCTGGAGGGTCAACTACAAGTCAGTTTAGACTTGATGGCAGTGAGTTGAGTGGAGTCTTTGAAGAAAGTTTGAGATTTCCCTAGATTGAAATTTCTTAATATTTCTTCAGTATATTGAAATCTTTTGTTTTGGTGTAAATTTTTCATTTGAGTGTAAATTTTTATACTTTTGCAAGCAACTGTTCATATCTTCCAGGGTATTCCAGGGTATTCAAATAATTATGGAATAAAAACAGAGATCGAGAACTTTTTTTTTTTACTAAGCTGTTGCTCATTGAGTCAGAACCAACCCTTGGTTGACCCTTCAGCTGGCTTTCAGAGGCTGTTAATCCCATAGAAGGAAGCTGCCCATTTTTCCTCCATCAGGGCAGCTGTTGGATTCAAACCATATACCTTTGCACTGGCAGTGTGATTCCTTAACAGTAAGCTACCAGAGCTTCCTATTATCATCAGAAAGATCTATAAATTAGAATATGAGAAAAAGAACTTATTAATAGTCTTTCTCAGGAAAGTAATAGAAACATGAATTATGGGTATAAAATAAGATCTGCAAAATAGTAAGATATACCATGTTTCTGGATAAGAAGAATTACTATGGTAACTAGTGGATTCTTAAAAAAACAAAACAAAGTGTTTAAAATGACTCTCTCATGGCTGACAGTTTGCATAGGGGTGGAGGTAGAGGATTTATTGAAAGATCTTAAAGTACATATGGAAAAAATGTCCCACATAGCCAATAAAAGAAAGATTGAGAAGAACATTGAAGGAGTCCTGCTTTACCAGAGACCTTACTATAATGCTACAAATCTATAAAAAATAATTAGAATTTTCTTTTATACAGCCTTTGACCATCCCAGACTTGTTCTCCAGGTCTTCATGACTATATCATCTGGCCAAGACTCTTTCAAAGGTTATATTACAATGCTTTATTAAAATGGCAAAGGACATTATTCCTTTTTTTTTTTAAGAGGAAGAGGCTGGCTATTGTCCAAAATGTTCAAGCACATTATTCCTTTTTGTATGTCAATGCCTCAGCTGGTACTAGATTCAAAGCAAATGTGTTACAGATATTTTTGGGCAGAAGTTAAATAAGTGAGTTAAAAGTCCAAGCAAAAGTAGGATCACAACAAAAGAGAAAGTCTAAGAATTCTGCAAGAAATCAAGAATCGGTGTCATAGTTACTAAGTTAGACTGTAAAAATATAAAATCAAATTGAAATCCACTGCCATCTAATTAAGTCTGTTTTATAGTGACTCTCTAGGATAGAGTAGAACTGTCCCATAGAATTTCTAGATCTTACTTGCCAAAAGGAAAGAGAACCTGAAACACTTATTGATGAAAATTAAGACTAAGATTTTAGTAAAGATTAAGTCTTAACATGAAAACAAAACCCTTTACAACTGGACCAGTAAATAATATCTTGATATAAAAGAGATAAGACTGAAGTTGTCAAAGTTTTAATATTACTTAAATCTGCTATCAACACTCATTTATTGACTACATGCTCATTTCTTGACTGTAAGCAGTAGTCAAGAAATCAAACATTGGGGAATTGTGATGCAGAAGACCAGCTAAAAGTGTGGAACAACAGATGGGGGATGGGGGGAGAGAGAGAGAGAGAGAGAGAGATCTAGAGTAACAATACCACTATAATGTCCCAGGAGCAGCAGACACCACACTACCAAAAAACCATGATAAGACATTATCTAAGAAACAACAACAACTAAAAATACCCCAATCAAAACACAGATTCAGCAGATTTCCCAAGAGACAAAAAGCTGATAGAAGTCTGACAGGAAATTCAGAAAAATGATGACCTAGTCTTATTGCAAAATGGGAGAAAATTATCAACCAAAGGAATCCTCAAGCAAATCTCTAGAAGAACTTAAAAACACTATAAGACAAAAGAGACAGACTAACAAATTACTAGAAATTCTAGAAAATCAAGGAACTGCAAGGAACTAAAATAATAAGACCAACGTTGCAGAAGCTATCACCAAATTGGAGGGACAGAAAAGCAGAATTGAAGAGATGGAACCCAGAATTAGGGGCAGAAGATAAAGCCCTTAATAGTAAACTTCTAGAGGAAAAGATAGAAACAAAAAGGAAGGGAAATTAAGAAATATAAAAATCATGTAGGCTATCATTAAAGGAAAGAACATACAAGTAATTGGAATCATTGAATAGAAAGAAGGCACTGAGAAAATAGTGGAAGAGTTAAAAGAAGAAAACTTCCTAGGAACTAGGAAAACTGAGAAAGTATACATTTAAGAAGCTGAATGAACCCTAAAAAAAATCAATCCCAGAAAGGAAACATCAAGACATATCACAATAAAACTTTACAAAAACAAAGGCAGGAAAGCATTCTAAAAGTAGCTTGACAAAAATGAAGAATTTTGTACAAAGAAGAGCCAGTAAGATTATGTACCAATTTCTCAGCAGAAACTGCAAAAAAGAGAATGGGCTGGCATATTAAAAACTCTGAAAGAAAACAACTGCATCTGAGAATCCTGTACGCAGCAAAAGCCTCAATGAAGCGTGATAGAGAAAATAGGGCTCCCTCAGAAAAACAATTAACAGAATTAATGGAAATAAGACCAACTTTGTAAGAATTACTCAAAGAATTCTTCCACACAGAAACAACAGTAGAAAGTGGATAGACAAAAGTAACCACCACCATCACCAAAACACAAAAGAATCCACCAAAATGACAACAATAAAACATTGCCTATCAATAATCATATCTTCTACTGTTCATCAGATTTTCAGAGGCCTGTTATTTAAGGAGT